GTGTCATTGAGTGTCCAGAAACTATATAAATCTGATGCATTATCGATTGTGCCTACCCTTTTAAACCGTCCTATGCTTAGTGAAGACATAATCAGCTTTTACCATAAAAAGAAGTTCGTAAGTTCATAAAGTGATTGTACTTCTTGCCATTTTGGTCAATTGTAGATCGTAAAATGTAGAATTTACTCAATAAATCAGCTTTGATTTCACCAAAGAAACTGGCAACCCAAGTGAGAGGCTCTGATTGGAGGATTACATGTTGTTCAAACCAAAGACAAAATATATTTGACTCTTTTTTTTTGTGTGCAATCAATATCAATCTATTCCGCCGCTCAAAATAGATTCTTTAAAGCACATTGGAGTGCTACATTTTGCTCGTATCCTCTCCATTAGTGTGATAATTAAAAGGCTGTTGGCATTAGGGTCACTGGAGAGCAGACTGAGGGTCCAGCTTCAAGCTGCAACACATCCTCCAATTACTAATGAGCTGATACTTAGGATTTTTCATCTTTTTCATAAGTAATAACTAATGAAATATAAATAAAAAGGTTTTTAATGTCACAATTAATAAAGCAAAGTAGCAAAGGACTTGGCATAAAGCATGTTTACAGGATTGTTGATCTCCTGTTGTTATATCATTGTTTGCCACTTATTTTTACATTTATAGTTTGGGTCCTGAAATGTATCATGTTTTTTTTTTCAGTAACCAGTGTTTTGAACTTGTTTTTTATTTACATTTATACACAAAATACTATCTCAGATGCATTAACTACATTTACAGTGATTTTCTGGTCAAAGGGTATTTTTACATGCTGATTTTGATACAAAATCATACTTCACGTTTTATCCTTCACACAAACACTATACAAAATGTTTGCCGCATTGCAAATACTATCTCTGAGTCCAAGCCCATAAAAAAACACACACACATTTATACACCCGTTTCAATAGGAATGAACTCGATGTGGAAGCACCAAACAGTGTCACACTGGTCAACATCAGTCCTTGTGCAGAGTTGGATCTCTCGCTTCGCAGCAGAAGGCCCTGGTTCGACTTTTAGTGTGGATTGTGATCTCGTATGTTTCCTCTGCTCCCGTTTTCCCCTACCGCTAAAAACCATGTACAATAGTTTTAATGCACTGAGTTTCTTTTTAAGTCATTTACTTCTATCAAAACAGATGTGTGACATTATGTTATGCCTGCTGTACTTGCTTCCAAAGAGCAGTATGTGCACATTAAGAATGAGAACAAAATGTTAATACACGATGATGCTGTCAAGATAAAAATACTTTGATTCGAGCTGGAGTTCAAGGCAAATGCAGCGATCATTTATTTGAATATGAACATTTTATATTGTAGTGTTTAGTCTGTCACATCGTTTTGCAGTTTTGTCAGTGGCTGTGCAGTCCAGACATTATAAAACTGCCATTACCTCCTCAATTCCCCCCCTTTTCCTCCCAATCAATATCCTCCGTCTGATCTGAAATAAAAGCCTGACCACCACTCTGAAACGAACCAATTATCCTTATTTTATGACTTCCAAAAATCCGTCTAACAATTGTCATTCTAAACAGACCTAGTTATGATATAGACTCTGCTGACACACACAATTATAAAATATTGCGATGTCAATGCTGGTTTCCTCTGACATTTAAAACAAATTACACATTAATGTGACATTTTCAACACGACTGTTAGTTGTGGGCGATTAAGTGCAGTATTTCCATACCGCGGGACTTTTTAAGAAGCTGTAAAAAATTCAAAAAATAAAAAGCAGTGTCACTCTGTTGAAAGATAGCATTAATTATTCAGAACATCTCTTTGAGTTATTATATTTATCACTCGCACATACAAAGTTATGAATTTGAATCCTCTCCTTCTACTACCCTCGTCTCTCGTACGCTCCACATCACACCAACACAGCTAATCCACTGTACAAATGTCTTAATCCAATCAGACCTGTTGTCTGCTGAAACTGAGAAGCACGAGCCAGAGCGTAGGAGAATGTCAAACATGACTGAGTGTGTGCTTTTCCACAAAGGCTTTCCATCAACTAAAGTGCTCTGTGCTTTTATATCAATATATTCATTTCAAAACAACTTCGAATGGAATTGCGTCTATTTACAGAAATATACAAAGTAGTCGCGTATGGGTAAATTTATCAATCAGGAGCACCATCCCAGAAATAAAAGAATATAGAATTGATTGAAACCAATATAAATATATACATTTTTTGTTATAATGTTGAGGAAAATGGCTTACTGTCAGTTCTCACAATATTCACAATTTCTGAGATGTTTTATTTGGGTATATCACAGCTGTGAAACCAACTATCAACAATATAACCAAATAAAAGCTTGATGATAAATGTAAGTGGAATAATTAAAATACGCAGTCATTATCGGAAAATAAGTACCGATTGACGAAGCGACCCCAATGCGCAGCGTACGGTCTGCTTCTGCCCTGAAGGTAATTTATTATACTGCTTTGTACCAACAGAACACACAAAATAAGAATTCTGAACGTCAGCGTGAGTGACCCAAACATAAACTCAACCTAAATCCATAATTTGATCCTCATGCAAATGTCCGAACTTTTCCCGTAATCTACTTCCGGGTTTTTTGGCCATCGCTTTTTCTTGCATTAAAACATGTTTTTAGTCATGAAAACGTTAACAGATACTTCTGAAAACCTCTGATGCATGTGTATTAAAGAATGTATATGTATAATGTATCTCTGATTAACATTTAATTGTGTTTATTGATAGTATTTGCGTATTGAGCGTTGCCAAGCTCCGAGTGGCCGAACTACTTGCAGAGTAATATGAATTACAAGCAGAGGTTGCGTTGCCATTGGCAGCGCCATTATTGTTTGAGAGTCCGTTATCAAGAAATAAAGACCAGTAAACGTTATTGAAATTACATTAAAATCCATGGCGCATCTACTGCTGCTGTGAGGAGCCGATGTAATAAAAATTAATAAAACTTTTGCAGTCACAACTGTCCATGCATTATTTAACAAAAGTTGAATTAAGTAAATGGAATTTTCTGAGCCTCACCTATAAACAGCAGACGCTATAAAGCTTCTGCTGTTATAGGTGCGCTATAGCGTCTGTTTTGTACAAAGTTGTTTATTTATTTCATCGAATCATAAAAATACATAAAAACAAAAAGCAAAATACAAACGCAAACATTACATATACATAAAATCAGAATAAAGTAACCCATCAAATTTATAGTTTAATGCCATTTATAACAGAGAACTATGGATAGAATACACCAGAACAATTGAACATTTGAACACACCCCCTCATATGATACACCCCTGAGAGTATTAAGGTGTGTTTGTTGTTTGGCAGAAGTTAAAATCAACATAATTATGAATAGTAGAGATTTTATTTTGAGAATGGGACTCACTAAAGCAGAACTCTTGTATAATTAATTAAAATGCATGCTGCGAATTAATCTGATTGTTCCTGAACCTAAACAATGAGCTGAAGCTGCCAGGTGGTGACTCCGTACCTCACACGCATATTACTTTGTTGTTTTTAACGAAGCACTTCATAAAATCTTTCAATTGTGAAGTATTTATAAGTGATTAAATGGCTCTTGAAATGTTCTCTGCACAGTTTTTTTTCCTGTTCCTCTGCACTTTTATCATTCGGTTTTTATGTTTCGGAGAAAATCCCAGATTACAGTCGGAGAAATCCATTTTGAGCAATAGAGCAACGAGCCATTTGGATCGCAGCACAAAATTTGTTGATGCGGGTTTTGGGTTTAAACTGAAAGTGTGAATCATGAAATTGGGCAGCAATAGCGCCCCCTACAGATGATTCAAGTGTTACATGGGGAGAAAGAGGTTTATTCTATTTCAGTAGTGCACAAAAATCATGCTATTGGAACCAAAAGGCCCCAGTGGTCGCTCCCATCAGGGGGCGCGGTAGAAAAATGGCGCGTCAGCGCAACCACGGTTTTCCGGTGTATGTGTCCGTGCGTGGTGCGGCGAGGCCGTTAGATGCCGCTTTGCTGCTTTAATTTGGTTGTTGTTTCCACATGTGACTCAACAGATTCCATATTTGATGCAAAAGAAAATAACACAAATCGGCATATACAGATTAGAAAAAACAGCCTGATGGTGGTATCGGTGCATATAATCATTTGACTTCGCTTGCTTTGCTTTGAAGAATGGAACAGGATCAGGGTTTCAAATGCAGTAAAAGGGCTTCTTGAAGATCCATCTCCATCTCTTGTCTCTTTGGTATGCTCAGCTTAGTGTCCGCGCCCCCCACTTGAGAATGGCTGTCCTGAGCTGTGTACCGCTCAGTGTCACCGCTTTTTATCTCCTCCCGCTGCAACATCGATTTGACCTCATTCAAGATTGGATGCCAACTTTTACTCTGAAGGGGAAAAAACCATAAAATCACAGTTAAAAAGTCATTATTTACAACATCTACCTTTAAAATGAGAAAAGCTGAGAACCTCTGACTTTGTGTTGTTTGCTCCATTACCGGGGAGTTTGTAAAAGTTTTAAAAATGTTGTTGTAGAAAGAGCCCTGGGGAGTCACTTTTTGACTCACAGGGTGAGGGTGTTTTTCTCGCCTTCACTTCTCTGTCTGAAAAAGTTGATTGGTGATAGGTGAAGTGTGACTGAGACACGATATACAGGAGGTGGATAACTAGCGGCCAAACCTAAACTAGACAGATTTTTTAATAAATATTTCAGTTGTTTAAAGTCAGGATACCCAGCTTTAAACCTATTTCTCTCTGTATACTAGCATGTCATTCTGTGTGTGTGTGTGTGGCGTGTGGCGTGTGTGTGTGTTTGTGTGTTGTGTGTGTGGCTTCGTGTGTGTGTGTGACCTATGTCAATACAATCCATTTTATTTGTTTAGCTGACCTTGTAGGACTAGTCCACCGGGTTCAGGGAGTCACTGGTTGTCAGACTGGGACTAGTCCTCAGGTCCAGGGAGTCCGGGGGGTGTCAGACTGGGACTTAGTACTATGGTCCGGGAGTCCACGGTGTCAGACTGGGACTTGTCCTCAGGTCCAGGGACGTCCCTCGGTGTCCAGACTGGGACTTGTCCTCAGGTCAGCGAGTCACAGGTGTCAGATGGGACTAGTCCTCAGGTCCAGGTGTCACCGTGTCAGACTGGACTTGTCTCAGTTTTCCAGGAGTCCACGGTTGTCAGACTGGGACTAGGCCTCAGGTCCAGGAGTCCGGTGTCAGACTGGGCGACTAGTCCTCAGGTCCAGGGAAGTCCACGGGTGTCAGACTGGGACTAGTCCACCGGGTTCAGGGAGTCCACGGTGTCAGCTGAGGACTGTCCTCAGGTCCAGGATGGTCACGGTGTCAGACTGGGACTATTCCTCAGGTCCAGGACAGTCCAGGGTTTTCGAGGCTCTTCAGTGCATTCATAATGATAAATGTATTGGTTTCATACAGCTCTTTTCTGGACTCTCAAAGATTTTTCACATGTTAGTATTCTTTCACTCCATTTGCAGTTTCACAACCCAGCGGAGCCGCCGTGTGTTTCTGTGTGTTTCCGTGTGTGAGTTTCTGAGTGTGTGTGTGGGTTTCTGTGTGTGGGTGTTGTGTGCGTCAAACATGCGTGTGTGTGCGGCGCCCGGACCGGGAAGCTTGCTGAGTGGCGTACGAGCAGAGGACGGAGCCAGGCAGGATACAAGTGTGTGTTTGGATGTGTTATGGAAATAAGTAAACACTGATTATATGTCTGAAGTGTGGTGCTTTTTGTTTTTGCAAAAAGCACCACAGTTGATGTGGAGGTGGGTCAGGATGGAGTTATTCCCGTCGCAAGCTGAGAATATGAAAGTGCTGAGACGTGTGTGAAAATGCCCGTCACATGAAGGACGTCAATATCAAGTCCCTACCACACCTCACACCCCCCCCCCCCGCACATGACCCCCCTCATCTGGTTTGGAAGCGTGCTGTGGGACCCACCTCTATCAATCGTGCTAAGGCCCACTTTCTGTAACCAACAAAGCTACAACCGTGGCTTGGGCACGGTGTGTTAGCATTTGTTGGTGCGTGGAGGGTGAGAGAAAGAGCAAGGCCTGAGCCGCTACATTTGAAACTGTTCACATAGTGAGTTAGTTGCAGCTTATTCGGGCTTGTTGGCTGTGAATGTGACCGCCAGCCTTATTGTGTTGTTGATATCCAGAAGCGAATGGACTTTTAGAACCATATTAAACAGTGTTCACAGGACTGTGCACTGCTGATCTCTGTGACAGTGAAGGTCTAACGAACGTGTCATCAATCAATACTGGCGGCGGCGCGAGCACATCTCCGCGTTCTAATGAAGATTTTAATTGCGTCAAATGTCACGAGGTCGTCCTGCGTCAGAGAGGAATCAAAGCCCAGATTAGGACAAAGATAACCACAAAGTAACGGTAACTACGTTTATACAGGAGCCAGAGAGAGGAGGCGGGTTTTAATGCTACATCACACACACACACACACCAGAAACACACACACACACACACACACAGAAACACACACACACACAGAAACTCACGTGCGGCTGGGTTGTGAAACTGCATGGTGTGAAAGAATACTAACATGTGAAGAGTCTGTGAGTGTCCAGAAATGAGCTGTATGAAACAAATACATTATCATTATGAATGACTGAAGAGACTCGAAAACCCTGGACTCCCTGGACCTTGAAGGACTAGCCAGTCTGACACCGTGGACTCCCTGGACCTGTAGGACTAGTCCCAGTCTGATCACCGTGGACTCCCTGAACCGGTAGACTAGTCCCATTCTGACCACCGTGGCTCCCTGCTGACTGAGGGACTTAGTCCCAGTCTGGACCGTGGACTCCCTGGACCTGAGGGACTAGTCCCAGTCTGACACCGTGGGACTCCTGGGACCTGAGGACAAGTCCCAGTCTGACACTGGACTCCCTGGACATGAGGACTAGTCCACAGTCTGACCTCCGTGGACTCGCTGGACCTGAGGACAAGTCCCAGTCTGGACACCGTGGACTCCCTGGGACCTGTGGAAAGTCCCAGTCTGACACCGTGGGAACTCCCTGGACCTGAGGACTCAGTCCCAGTCGAACGGAATCCCTGGACCTGAGGACTAGTCCCAGTCTGACAACGGGACTCCCTGAACCGGTGGACAGTACTACAATGACTGTATACAAATAAAATGGATTGGTATTGACAGAGGTAATCACCACACACAACACACACACACACACACACACACGCCACGCACACACACACGACACCACAGATGACATGCTAGTATACAGAGAGAAATAGGTTTAACGTATGGGGTACCTGACTTTAAACAAACTGAAATATGTGATTAAAATCTGTTAGTTAGTTTGGCGCTAGTTTCACCTCCTGTTATATCTGTACTCTGTCCACTCTTTCACATCACATCAATTTTTCAGCCAGAGAAGTGAAGGCGAGAAAACCACCCTCAGCCCTGTGAGTCAAAAAGTGACTCCCAGGCTCTTTTACAACAACATTTTACTTTTACAAACTCCTGTAATGGAGCAATACAACACAAAAGTCGATTGGGGTCTCAGCTTTTCAGTTTTAAAGGGTAAGATGTTGTAAATATTTGACTTTTAACACTGTGATTTATTGGTGTTTTCTCTTCAGGGTAAAAGTGGCTCCATCTTGAATGAGGTCAAATCGATGTTTGACAGCGGAGGAGATAAAAGCGGTGACACTGAGACGGTCACAGCTCAGGACAGCCATTCTCAAAGTGGGGGCGGGTCACTAAGCTGAGGCAGACCAAGAGAGGCCCAAGAGATGGAGAGGATCTTCACAAAGCCTTTTACTGCATTTGAACCATGATCATGTCCAATCTCAGAAGCAAAGAAGCAGAAGTCAAATTGATTATCTGCACCGATATCCCTTAAGGCTGTTTTTCTAATCTGTATTGCCGACTTTGTGTGTTTTTCTTTCAGTCAAATAATGAATCTTGTTTGAGTCACAGGGGAAACAAACAACCAATTAAAGCCGCAAGCGGCATCTAACGGCCCTCGCCGCACCACGCACCGAGGTTGCGATGACGAGCCATTTTGTCTACCGCCCTGATGGGAGCGACACTGGGCTTTTGGTTCCAATGAGCAGTGTTTTTGTGTCTATTACTGAAATAGATAAACCTACTTTTCCCCATGTTAACACTTGATCAGTCTGTAGGGGGGAGAGGGCGCTATTGCTGCAATTTCATGTTTACACTTCAGTTTACCCAAACCGAGAGTTTGAAACAATCAATTCAAATTTTGTGCAAATCAGACTTTGTATGTGCAAATGGTTGGCATTTATTGTTGTTACAACAAGCGCCCCCTACAATTTCAAAGTATTAGTCTTTATACCAAAGAACACCAAAATAATACACTTAATGCTGAAAAAACGTTGTGGCAAAGTTTGGTGAGTTTTTGTGCATGTTCAGTTGGGTCAAATATGAGATCAAATGACAGAAAACATAAATACCTTTATCCCCATGTAAACCTTTACTCAGCCTGTAGGGGGCGCTAATGGGCACAATGTCATTGTTCACATGTCATGTGAACTAGGCCCAGGAGTTGAACAACAAAGTCAAGTTTAGTGCTGAGTTTGTAAATGTGCTCCTGTTTGTACATACAATCTGTGAGTGTGTCCATACCAGTCTCCATTGGATAACATGGGAACTTACACCTTCTCTATGGAAATGACCCCACTTTGGGGGTCTGATCACGCTGAGACCGTTTGACTAATTAAAACTCTATATGCACAATTGATGGTCCATGTGTGGACTCCATGTGAGCGATTTTCAGACAATTTGGGGAAACGGCCGTGGCTGGTTTTTGATGTTTGAGCGAGGTGTACTTTTCAGACAAAAAAGATTTAACGATTTTCTCATAGACACCGAACAGGGGAGTGTTGGTCGTCGCCACGGAAACAGGGTAAAAAATAACATATATTGTCATTGACTTTTTGAATCCAGGATGACAAACAGAATTATGTGCAAATATCAAAACATTTGACAAAAATAAATTTTAAAAAGCCCATGTAAAACTTTAACATAGTCTGTAGGGGGCGCTAATGAGCCAATTTCAATATTTCCACTTTCAGATGACCTAGACCCTGGAGTGAACAATGGATTAAAGTTTGGTGCAAATCCGGCTGTGTTTGTGCATATGGGAGCAAAATTTATTTTGTCAAAAATCCCCCAAAAATGTTAACATTTTGCCGCTCCGCTGCGCGGGACAACGTTTATTGATCCAAATTCTTATATTCAATAATAGATGGGACATGGGTTTAGACAGTTGAGCGATTTGGAGACAAATCGGTGAAGCGGCGAGGAGGAGATAGTTTCCAGCCGAACATGTGTGAATATGATCAATTTTCATTTTTCCATTTTCCATTAAATTATGAGCGGGGGGGGGCTTCCTGTTTGTCAGGGGGCGGTGCCATAATAACTTTTTTTCTTTGTCTGACCTGAGGAACTTGTGCAACGAATTTTGTGGCTCTACGACAAACTTGGACCTCCGACCCCCTCCCATAGGGCGGCTATGTAAACTGACTTTTTGTAGGGGGCGCTGTTCGGTCATTTTTTTATTCCATAAAAATAAACACCTAAAAAAATTAATTTTCACCGGTTTCTGAATTTTGGGCAAATTTCACAACTTTCATCAATGTTCAGGGGGTCAAATTAGGTTCAAAGTGCGAAGAAAAAAGAAATAATAATTATAAGGAATTTTTTTTGAAATCTTCGAGCAAAAAAACAATATAGGGTTTCCATAGTAACCTATATACAAATGATACGTCGTTTTAAAGCGAACGACCAGACGGAACGCAACTATAGGGTTCTCGGTGATTTGACGAGCGCTACGCGCTCGTCAATCACCTCTGCCATCTGAGGTCACCCACCCCCCCCATAGGACCCCATTGTTTACACTGTGTAGTTGGCCAGAGCAAAGCCATTCAGTGCCTCCGGCACTGTTTTGTCAGTGTCTGGGCACGCGGCCACGTCGGGCTTGTGGGACGATGTACCGGGCTTCGCGCCGGACATTCGTCCGTTTTTAAAACAGTTAGAAGGACCCCCCTTTATAGACCTTCAATCATTTCACTGTGTACTACAGCAGGAACAAAGCCTTTCCGTGCCGCCGGCACGGATATATATCAGTGCTTGGGCACGTTGCTCTCGTCGCGTGAAGGTACAATCTCCGGGCTGCGCCCGGAGATTGTGACTTAAAACAGTTCAACGAGTATGCCTGGGCTTCGCCAGCATTACTCGTTGAACTGTTTTAAGTTCACAATTC